AAAGCTAAACCACATGACTGAACTCCTGCCAGGGCTTTGGGACGGAGCAGGCCGTCCCGAGTGCCGCACCACTTAGTGTCCGCATTATCACAGATACTCACCGGCTCGGTTACAGCAGCACGGGGAGCGCAGTTGTCCCGACCTAAATCCTGCTCCTGTCACCTCCTGCCCCGCACAATTGCCCGCCCCATGCCCCAACACAGAAAGCGCCGATAGATGGAGATATCTTTCTGTGCCACGCAGGGTGTGGGATTGCTGCGCGGCCGTGTTTGGGAGCTGGGGCTGCCCTCAGCCACTTCCACGTGGGACACACATGCAGCCTTCCAGCACTGCTGCCATACAGGGATGTTTCACCAGCCTAAAGTAATGCAAAATCTGCCTTCTCCTGTTCTTCCTTGAGCGCAGAAATACTACGAGAGGACTTCATTTCACTTTTTTTTCTTCGAACGTATACATGTCACTGAACGGCCAAAACTGATGGAAATGAAAAAAACACACAGTGAGTCCCCAGATCTCCCCTGGCCGTGCACAGGGAGCCCAGCACACCGCGACACCGGCTGCAAGGCTGGCTGAGCGGCTTGGTAAGAGTCAATGCAATAAGCCCCATGTTCTGCAGAAAGGCACAGGGTCTATTAACATCACAAACAAAACTTTAAAGACTGGTTTTGACGCACGCTGGAACAACCGTGTATTGGAATTAGGTTTTCAAAAGCCTTATATGCAGATGAAATGTCACGGATGCTTTAAAAGTCTTCAGATACATGTAAAAACGACATGTCTATTACATATTATCTTCACAGAACAAACACCATTTGAAATGTGCCTCTTTTTAACTACCGTTATGAGCTGTCTAAAGAGCATTTTGGTTGAAACTTGGGAGGAAAGGGAAAAAAAAAACCCACTGATCTTACACCTGCTCTTTAGCAGTGGGAAGTGGGTTCTCAATCTGTTAACATGACCATCTGGCCAATCTGCATATCACGGCGATCTGGATTACTGTACGGAGGAATGACAATAACGTAGCCAAAACAAAAGTAAAATGCATCAAATACTAACAGTAGCGCGGCCCTTTTGATTTTAAATTAAATAATAAACGTGGTATCACAGCAAAGCGGGGAAGTCGTCTAAATAATTAAATACGAGCCTTCGCCACGGCATAATTAAGTAAACAATATGGTGTGCGTCCTATAGGAGCCAGCAATACTTTGCACAGCCAAACGCCAGACTTTTGCAGAGCTGGAGATGCTGCGGCAGCTCTTTCCGTGATGCACGGCATTGTCAGAGCACCTCTCGCACCGCCGCACCGCCGGCCGGCCGCGGCTATTAGCGGGATTAATGCAGCAACAATCAATAACAATTGTACTAAAGGATCACGGTGCAAAGCGGGCTGTACCTCTCAGACTTGGAGCTAAGCGATACCTCCGCAGCATTTCGGCTATCTGCAGCCCCTTGCTTTATTCGCCAGGCTCTGCCTTACTCTGACTGGGGCCTCTCTGCGGTGCTCCAAGTAGAAATGTTTTAAATCTGCCAATGGGTCCACCTAAAGTTCAAGGTCGTGTGCCATACACTGCTGCCCAGGCAATGGCCACGGACTGCATTTAGACGCTCAGTGAATTCTTGCAGTTGCGGAAATAATGCTGACTTTTTGCATCTTCTCTGGCTCTTATTTTAAACATTAAGAGAAGCAGAAAAAATAGCTCATTGAAATAAACAGCCATCTCCAGCTTTTCCTTAAATTTCAGATTTCTAAACGTCCTTCCAAAAGACCGAAAGCTTTTCTCCCCCAGAACCACCTGGCTAGCACAACTTGCCTGGGACAGTGACGGCAGCCCTCCAAAAAAGCCAGAATCGGGCATCGCAGCGTCGCTCCCCGGCCCGGCATCCAGCCCTGCCCACTGCCAGAGCCTGCAGAACTGGGACCTTGCACAGAATTTAACTACTTCCATGGCGAGCCTTTCCTCCAATCTGATCACATTAGCAGAAGGAACTCCAAAGCAGTAAAAAACTCCTGAAAGTTCTCGGTTGAGTGCCTACTAATGAACAAAGGTTAACTTTATCTAAAAGGTCAAATGCCTGGTGGCTAAGGTTGTGACCTTAACAACTTAAATTGTGACCTTGCCACGTGCCTAGTATATTGCAGATTCTGATACAGATCATCTGGTAAAGGACTGGCCATAAATTAGCTTTACTGTTTGACTCCCACAAAGAAAACGGTTTGCCACAATGGTTTCCAACTTGTCATTTGATACAAGTGCAGAATAAGGGAAAACTAAAAAGCAAACCCAAGTTTAGGGTATGAAAATGCCACCTGCTTTTAGTTAAGCAGATTAGAAACTGCAAACTGAGAGCAATACTCTAAATTTCAATACATTTTTGGTCAACCTCTAATTCACAGAACACCGTTCTTCCTTTCCTCTCCTTTCCTTTTTTTTTTTAACGAAAAAGACACATCGTTTGTGTATTTGCATGTTTTTGTTTTCTCTTTCTAGCCAGTTCTTAAAGGGAATAATTGATTTCAGTAGCTTTGTGAGAAGCACTATTTAAATCTGAGCACATGTGTTCTCCTACAGATGATAGTGCCTACTGAAGAAAAAGCGTGGATTCAAAGCAATAATTATGGTGCACGTTTAGAAGGAGAGGGACATCTCGCTGCTGAAGTCATCTCGAATAAGGCATCTTGGAAGGGAACGCTCCCTCAAAAAAAAGAAGAGTTAAAAAAAAAAAAGAGAGAGAGAGAGAAGAAAAAGCACTACGGGTGAAAAGGTCACAATGGTTTTGGCACATATCTCCAAGCACGTTTCAGAGTCTGTGCCTCCTGCCAATACTGGCAACTTCTCAAAACTTTTAAGGAGGTAAAAACATTGTTTAGTGTTTACAAATCTTCTGTACTATAGCAGATGCTTGTCAAATCCGCTATATGTAAGTTGACCGGCCTACCTAATATCAGTGCTGGCACCTTCCTCCCCAGAGCTACCCGGTCCATACATTGCTGGAGGCGGCCCTGATGGAGCTACAGACAAAGGACCCTTAATATTTTCCTTTTGTACCATTCCTGTTGCGCACATGGCACAAGCTGCCATTACTGCGGGTCTGCGGGAACCAATGGCTGGCAACTTGGCCAATGTTCAGGTGCAACAAAGACTGCTGGGATACCTCGGAGGGGTGAAAAAAAGAGAGGAAAAAAGGGGAAAAAAAAGGTAGAGAGCTTCCAGCACACCTCTGTGCAGCGACACAGGGGACGCCTGACCCGCGATCCATCCTAAGCGTGGCGGTGCAGCAGCAAACCCGCAGCACAACGAGCACAGCGTGCTGCAGCCGGAACCACGGCGCGGTGTGCACCCACTGCTCACTGCAGACAGACCCTGCGAATCCGCAGCACTGAGGTCCCAAGCTCTGCACCAACGATCTACAGCAAGCAGCTCCAACAATCAGTGAGGCCGCTGCCCGTTGATGATGAGCGTAGAAACACATCAGTTTGCTATCAAGGGTAGTGTTTGCCAGCAGCACGCTGATAAGATGTTATATTCCTAATCACAATATTGAACTTCTACGGCGTCTCTTGCCTGGCTGCTGCAGCAGGAAGAGAACCTCTGGCCCCTTGCAGCACCCAAGCCTGGATTTCCCCTTTTCTCCCCATCCTGTGTCCCTGTGATCCTCCCTGCGGGCTGAACCCAGCCTCTGCTTTCTGCTGGCAACCCTCGCCCTGCGCAGAAGGCCGCTCTGCACTTAGGAAATGCAATAGGGACCAGTATTCAGCATCCTAAAAAACCCTAAAAGCCTGGGGCAGAGCCCTGGCCCTGTTCTCTGCTCAGTTCACAGCAGACGGTAATCCCTGCTCCATGCCACATAACAAAGCACAGAGCAAATACAGCCTTTGGGCGGCGGGAAGGTGAGCGTGATTCAATCATGCTGCAGGGCTGGGTGCTGGTTGTGGGGATGGCATGAGGAGGGCCACACGGTCAGCCCCAGTGTGGGCTGCATTGCAAGGGCATGGCAGGAGAATTTGGAATGGCCAAAAGTTCCTACGCACCCCTCCAAAACAACGTGGTGTTGGAAACACCAACTCCCAGTGCTGCAATTTGCTATGTTTCCTGTATATTTATATATACGGGGTCTGCATGGGTATGATCCCGCCCTCGCCCCCTGCTCTCTCCGCCTGCCCAGCCCCTCCACTTGCAGGCCAGCCTGAAGCCAGGCCAACCTGCATGTCCTATATCCGCCCTACACACATCCTCTCTACATCGTGTATCGGACGACCAGGGCCCAGCACTGCACTTGCTCACATCTTTCTGCAGCACAATTGCCCATCAGAGACACGATGCCATGTTATTTTCCACCCCAGCCCTCTGCTCACCCTCTCACACATTGAGGCAACCCCAGGCAGGTGGAGGACCCCTGCATTTCCCGTTTCATCACATATAAAAACAGTTCAGCCCTCCCCAGGCGCAGTATTATTCAATGAAGAATTCGTTTCAAGAACAGACCAAATTCTTTGTGTATAGACTGTGATGTTTCAAGGTTGTCTTTTTTTTTTAAATAAAAGGTTTGGCCTCAATTCCCCAATTTTTTACCCAAAATGACAACCTCACATTTGTTATCTGCACCTTCCAGCTGCCAACTGGGGCTCCTCTCCCTTTCCCATCTCTCCAGGTGAGGATGCCTGGTAGCCCTGACCTTGGGTATCCCAACCCTCTACAACCGCTTCATGCATAACAGGCACAAAGTTAATTTTAGAAGTAAAACATGAAAAAAAAAAAAAAAAAAAAATTGGGAATTCTCCCCGCGTTCCCTCCACCGCACAAAAAAAATAGAAAAATAAAAGAAGCCTGGATAATACCTGAGCAAAGTGCCCCAAACACCAAACTGCCATTAACCCCAGGAAAACAAGAGCTGTGCCCGGTGAAGAAGGGCAGATTTGGGGCCGCGCTCCCTCCCGCCCGCACCAAACCCGCCGGGACGCAGACGCGCGAGGTGGAGAAGTGGTATAGAAAGGCACTTACCTGCGGCGTGCACAAAGTATGCCAAATATAAATCGAGTTCCTTAACAGAAACTCCTATATGGTGGGGCTGTACGCACAGCCCGGGGTTAGAGCACTGTGGGGACTTTACAAGGCGCTCGCCATCAGTACTTTCGAGCGGAATACCTTTAAATAAAATCACCATAACGAGGTCCAACCTCCAGACCTTATCTGCCTGGCGAAGGCAGTCAATTCTTCTCATCTTGCCCTTCTGGTCTGGATTGGAAAGGACGCAACACGGAGGCTTTTTTCCTGTGACTGTGAGAACAAAATCCTCCCGAAATTCAGGCCTGATATCTTTCCGAAGCTTTGCCAGAAGTCTGGACGCCCATTTCTGCTTTACCTCGGGTTTTTCACTTAAGAGTTCGTCCTTCACGGCCCTCTCTTCCTCTTTTGACATGCGTTTCTCATGTTTTTTGAAGTATTTTCTCTTTCGGGCTTGCAGGTTGAACCATGTGTACGCAAACGCTCGGACGTGAGGCAGAAGTGCTTCGATGAAGGGATGAAATTCATCCTGAAAAAGTCACAGAGAAGCGTCGGTGTCACGCAAAGCACAGCGAGGCCCGAAAAGAGCCGAGCGGCCCCGACCCCCTGAAAGGAGAAGCGGGGCCAGGATCGGGCCCCCAGCCCCAGTTTGGTGGAGAAAAGGGCAGAAGGAGTTAAAGGCACGGGGCCGGCTGGGTGCGGGGACTCGGCCGCTCGCAGCGCGTATCTCCCTCTGCTCCCTCCCTGACCCCGCTGCTTGCGGCGTCGCCAGCGTGTGCCCGCCAATTTGGCAAATTCGGAACGCTCGGATGCCAATCCCTGTTTGTGTGGGGAAGTCTGAAGTATAGCGAAACTTTCCCAAAGATAACTTGGAAATGGCAGCGCGCTGTACAGTAACGCGCAAGTGGAGCCGTGCGTGCGAACACGGCGGCGGTGCTCTGCTTGGAGGACGGAGCGCCGCGGCCGCCCAGCTGAAATCTTAAAAAGCACCGAATAGTATTTAAAAAAAAAAAAAAAAAAAAAAAGGTGAGGATTACAGTCCATTAAAAAAAAAAAAATTAAAATTTTAATCTGACATTGCTGCATGTTAGGATTCCAAAGAGTTTTGGTAAACTGAAAGGAGACCCAAAAAACTGAAAAGCGCAGTGATAGAAAAGCTTGGCACAACTCATGCAAACACGCCAATTTTTTTTTTTTTTTTTTTTTTTTTTTTTTTTTGTGTCAGGCTGTATTTTCGTACACCCAAAAAGAAACACCGTACTTGGAAAGTTAGTTTTGCCATCCAGAGACACTGCTCTGTGCCAGGATGTGCTACAGATCCCCTCTGCCTGGGCACAAAGTAATCACAGTTACAGTGCTGCTGACCACAAAAAAATGCAAGAAAGACCCCTTTACTTTTGTAAAAAAAAATACAGATATAGATCTATTATGCAGAAATAGATCAATGTCCTCAAAAAGCACCACGTAAACCAGCAGAGGGATCGACCCAGGCAGTGCCATGCTGGGGCCGCACTCTCAGTTCCTACACCAAATGAATGAGCGCAGCGCACGTCACAGCGCCTGCGGGCCGATCCCACTGCTGCACGGCCCGATCCCATTGCCCACAGGGCCCAATCCCACTGCTGCAGGGCCCGATCCCACTGCACGTAGAGCCTCATCCCACTGCCTGCAGGGCCTGATCCCATGGCTGCAGGGCCGGGCGCCTCCAGGCTTCATGTTGGGCCCTGCGGGGATGCACAGCAGCTGCTGCACACGGGAGAGTTTCTGCCCTGTCCCGCAGGGCAGCGCTGGGGTTCACATTAGTTAACTTTTGAGTACCGAAATGATCGCGTGGAGCGTTTCCGACCCAAATCATTTTGGGTTGTAAATGCCATTATAAAAACAGAAATATCACATCCTTCTGATAACATTATTTGAAGTTCTATTTCTTTTCAAATAATGATGAGAAGTTGAGCACTCGGTAGCAGAAATACTCATCAGCAGACGCTGCCCTAACTCAGGAGCTCCTACTGACTTCCCTCAAGGTTCCCCCGCACTGATTCTGACGGCCCTTACGCTGTAAATACTTCAATCCATAGCGCTGTCACAGCGGTCATTTTTACTTTGAGCACAGAACGTGCAGAGCCATCCACCCAGCCCAGGAACCACAGGACGATGGATGAGCATTAACACCAAAGCAGGTAAAATAAAATAAATCACTCTGATGATTGACGCATTCCTTTTTTTTTTTTTTTTTTTTTTTTTCCTCCTCTCCCATCTTGTACTGGATGGAAGAGATCATAGTTTCAAATTTCAATAAAGTTTGGGGGGGGAGGAAAAAAAAAATAATAAAGATTGCCAAGAGTTTGCAGTCGGCAGATTCACAAAGTGGGCGAAGGCGCACGCGGAGCTGCTCTGTCTCTCCTACGAGGGAGGGAAGGAGACGGACCGCAGCTCCCTGCGAGCTGCCAAAACCCCAAAGCCAGCTCCTGCTCCTCCTGCCCCTCTTAGGGGGGAAAAGGCCTTTGTGGGGTCCTGGTTGTGCACACAGAGCGCTGCCGGACCGCGGGGAGCACTGCTGCGAGCAGAGCGCTCGCTGAGCACGTCTTGGTGGGGCTGAAATATTGCAACTTTTCTGCTTTCTGCAGCGCTTTGTCCTGACGGATCTCATGTGCTCGGGACTTTTTTGGCTCGACGCTGGACGCCATCCAAGAGCGAGCTGCTGTAACCTGCGCTGCAGCCCGTTCCTACAGCGGGAACCTGAGCGGGGAGGGAGCGGCAACACAGGAAAAAATATATATCTATTTAAAAAAAAAAAAACAACCACTTGAAAAGAGCCAGGGGAAAAAAAAAAAAAAAATTCAACAAAAAAAAAAGGCGGTGTGAAGGCAGGGGTTGGAGGCAGCGGGAGGTGAGCGGCCGTGCCAGGCTCCGGGTGCTGCTCAAAATGGTGCGCGGCGAGAAGAGGTTAATGGCTCACACAGCGACCCGCAGCCCCGGCACGGCACAGCCTGCAGCTCGGCCGGCACCGTGGCACAGAGAGCAAAGCGCCAGGACTGTGAGGTGGGAGGGGAGCGGGTCTGCACAGCGCCGTTATTGATTTTGGGGGTATTATTATAGCAAAAATAAAAAAAAAAAAGTTTCGGAAGTGTGTCAGTGCAAGCGTGCTAACAGATGTGCAGAGCTGACCGCAGCCTGGCTGCAGAAAGAGAAAGGGTTTAAGGAGCAAAAAGGAGAGGGGCTTTGCCTGTCCCCAAACTCGCCCAAAGGGAAACTTTTATAGCGTGTGAGCAGGACGGGTGCTGAGCCCTTGGGCTGCGTGCAGGCAGCCGTGAGGGAGGAAAGTTGTGCTGCACGGTGCCCAAAGTTGGCGGCCGCAGCCCTCGGCCCTGAGCAGCTCTGCTCCGAGAGGGCAGAAGGCGCAGCCAGAGCCCCAGCACTGCCTGGAAACAAGGTAACCTGCAGGAGCCCTGAGAAACACTTGTATCTCTGTGGATCCTCTCGAACCTAAGCCAGCCGCAGCAACCCTTGTGAATATTTTTACAATCCGTTTGCTTGTAAATCTATTAGGAGATGGGCATATGTTCCCCAACCGCTTCCGAGATCCTCTGCAGACACGGACAGCGCTGGGGTTTTCCTGACAGATGACACAAAACCTGGTGCCATCCAGGTACAGTGCTGGAACCGACGCGTTCCAACTCTGATGTCTGTGTCTCCCTTTCTGAACCGCTTTCCCTTTAAATCTGAACCAAAACTTCACCCAAATGAAAAAAGACGCACACAAAAAAAATCTCCCTTCCCAAACTCCCACTGATAAAAGCTCCCATCGATCCTGGAGGGAAAAATAGGAATCCTGAAGGGAAAAATAGCCAAGCCATGGAGAAGGGTGCCCCACTCTTATCGGGATTGACAGGGAGCACCCAACGGGGCTGCGGAGGGAAGGAAGGAGCTCCTCGGGAGGCCTCTTGCCCTCGCCTCACTTTTCCAAGTGTGCAACAAGAATGCAAGATTTTCTAATAGAAAAAGGAAAAAGAAAAAAAAAAAAAAAAAAAAAAAAAGAATAAAGCATTGGGGGGAATGGGACAGAGAGCCCCATCCTGTGGGTCGGGGTTACGTGTCCCCATGGCACAGCCAGGCCCTGCCAGCCCCGCACGTGGGGCGACGCGCTGTGCCCCCGCGGCAGCCGGGGCCGTGGGTGCCAGGTCGGGCTGCGGTGTGCGGGGCAGCCCTGAGCCCCGGCCCTACGGCTGCAGGCACTGGGGGCCGGGGGCGGGGGGGGGCCGGCAAAGGGAAGGGGATAAAGTTTGGCGGCTCCCGCCCTCTCGCTGCGTTTCGTCGCCTTTTCTCGCCGGAAAGCGCCCGGAGAGGCTTTCTCGCCGGCAAAAAAATAGGAAATAAAATAAAATTCAAATTAAATTAATAAGAATAATGGAGTCAAAATCTCCTGCAGGAGGAAATAATCTGGGGTAGGAGCCCGCCACAAAGCGTTTCCTCGTTAAACCATTATATCCTGCTAATTGGAGGTGTGCAATTTAGCGTCCTGCAGCAGGGCGCGGGGTTGGGGTGAGGGGGGGCGCCGTGCGGCCGTGCAACCCCGGGGGCACCGCGGGCCGAAACCCCCCCGGCCCGAGCCTCCCGTCCCGCGCACGCGAGGGGCGCAAAAGTTGCGCGGGCGGCGCTCCACGGGCGGGGAGCGGTGCGGGAAGGGGGGGGGACACGGCACGAGTTGGGGCGACCCCCGCGAGAAGACGGTGCAGCCTGCACTGAAGCGCGCGGGGGGTCCGCGGCGGGGTCGCGCGCGGAAATCGCGCGGGGAGAGCGCGGGAGGAGAGCGGCGGGACGGCGGGGATCCCCCTCCCCCCCGGAGCCCCGCGGTGCGGTGCGGGGTCGCGGCGGAGCGGCGCGGGGAGCGGCGGCGGCGCCGCATCGATCGCGGATGACCAAGCACCCGGCGGGGCGCGGCGTGCGGGGGGCGTCCCGCAGCCCCTCGGCTCTTAATTACGGCGTTAATAAGTAGGCGCCATTAGCCATGTGCCGACACAAATGGCCGTGCGGGAAAAGGGGGGAGAGGGGAAAAGCAACAAAGTTGAAGTTTCAGCGAAGCGGCCGCGTTCGTGCCCCGGCCCCGGCCCCGCAGCGCGGCCCCATCGCGCCCCGCGGCCGCTTACCTGCGTGAGACAGAGCGGAGAATACATGACTGCTGCGGGGGGCTGCGGGCGGAGGTGTGCGTGTGCGGGAGAGAGGAGAGAGAGGGGGAGAGGGGGGGAGAGAGGGAGAGAGAGGAAAAAAAAAGAGAGAGAGAGAGGAGAGGAGGGGGAGCCCCGAGCCTGCTTCTTGCTTTCACATTTCCAACTCTGCCAAACTGCAGCCAGCGCGGAGCCGCTCCATGAGCTGAACTTTAACCCCGCCTCGACTTTCCCGCACTACGCGCTCGGCATGCCTGCCCCGCGCGCCGTTAAAGGCATAGCGCCCGCCGCGCCGCGCTGCGCTGCGCTGCGCCGCGCTGCGCGCCCGCTCCGCGCCCGCTCCGCTCTGCGCCGCCCGCGGGGGCGGGGAGGGGCGGGGAGGGGGCTGCGGCGCTACCGCCTCCCTCCGCCCCGCAGCGCGCGGCGCAAAGTTTGGCTGCGGGAGAGGGGAGGGGGGGTGGGGGGGCACGGCGGGGTGCGGGGATGGATGGGGGCAGCGGGAGCGGCGCGGCCGTCGGAACTTTGCCGGTGCGCTGGCACTTGTCGTGCGGTGCTTAGTGAGCTTTGAAAATAAGAATGAAAATTAGAATAGAAATAAGGATAAAAATAATAACTGGGGGGGGGGGGGGGGAGGGCTGGAGCATCGCGAACAGAATTCCGTTTCAATTCCCGGCTCGTAACACCGCTCCGTAGAGGAGAAGCGCCTCCAAGCCCGCCCCGCATTGTTTTGGCAGCGGCAGCCTTTGGGGTTTTTGGGGTTTGGCCGCGCTCCAGCCCGCGCGAGGGGAGCCCCGTCCGTGTGTCCGTGTGTCCGGCCGTCCCGTGGGAACGGCGTTTTCCCACCGCCGTTGCCCCGACGGCAAAGGGCGCAGCGGGGGCCGCGCTTGGCGCTGCGCTCCTCGGACTGAAAATACCGTGGGGGGCAGCGCGCAGCGCTCTTTTTCGCCCCCGCGCGACCCCCCCGACCCCCGCTCCCCCGCGCAGGGAACTTTTCGGGCCGTGGGACGGCTCTTTGCGCCCTCTAGGTTTGGGGGTGCGACCGAGCGCTGCGCGCAAAGCGCTCCGCAGCCGCGCAGAGCAACGCGAGGAGGGCGAGGGCGGGGGCGGGGAAGAAGGGGGGATAAAGCGAGCCAGAAGGGGTTTCCTCAGCGCTGCGCGGGTGGAAGCGCAACTTGGTGCTCTTTTTTCCCCACTCAGCTTTTTGCTAAATCGCAACATTTGTTCCTTTTCTTTTCTTTCTTTCTTTCTTTCTTTCTTTTTTTTTTTTTTTTTTTCTAAATAGCACTTTTCTCTCTCTTTCTTTTTTTTCTTAATATTTTGGGTGCTAAATCCGGAGGTTTCCGCCGCTCCGTTCCCAACTTTGTCGGAAAAGGGAAAAAAAAAAAAAAATAATAAATCCCGGTTAAAAAAAAAAAAAAAAAGCCTAAAAAAAAAAAAAAAAAAGGTGCGCCCCTCCCCCCGGGGGAGTTCAAACGTCGCAACACCCACCCCCGGCGCTGATTGGTCAGCGGGGAGCTACGTCACCCCACCCCGCCGCTCCCATTGGTCTGCACCCCGGTCCGTCCCTGCGCGTCTTTGTGCGCGGCCGCGGCGGCTCCAGACGGCGCGCACGGAGCGGGCGCGCACGTACGGGCGGCGCTCGGGGGTGGGGGGGGCTGAGGGGGAGCGGGGGAATCTGCCGAGCTCAGCGCTTTTCTGCGCTCCCTGGAAAAAGAAAAAAATCATAAAGAAAAAAAAAAGGGAAAAAAGCCGAACCCCGCGCGCAAACCCCGCGCAGCGCCCGCACATAACGGCACCGCGGGGCCGGGCGCTGCCTGCGCAGGGCGACGCTTTTTTTTTTTTTTTTTCTTTAGTGCAAAAATTGTTTCTAATCGCTAAAATAAACTTGAGCCGTTGGGAACCCGGAAGAGAATGGGCGCCGCAGCCAATTGCCGCTCACCCTCGGCTCCCTTTTTTTTTATTATCCTTTTTTCCCCCCTCCTTCCCTCCCTCCGGGGCCGCCCGGCGCGGGGCTCCGCGCTGCGACTTTGCCGAAGTAACCATTGCTTCTCCCCCCGCCTCCCCCTCCCAACCTTGTCCTCCGCCTATTTCCGGAACAGCGATTTGCATCGCAGCCCGCCCCCTCCCGCCCCCCCCAATTCCCCTTCGGCTCCCTTCCCAGCCCCGGGGGGGGGGGTCCGGCAGCGCAGCAGGGGTTCCGCAGGGGTTCACCTGGCGGCAGCTGCCCCCCCCGGCTGCTCCGTACCCCCGGTCCCTGCATGGCCCTTGCTCTACGCCCTCTGATTTACGCACCCCCCCCCCCCCTTTTGCTCTGCAACCCCCGTTCTTTGCACCCCCTTTTGCTTCGCACCCTCCTCCTGCTTTGCACTGCACTTTGCTTCGCACCCCCTTTTGCTTGTTATCCTTTGCACAACCCCTAATTGCACCCCTTTTGCTCTGCACCCCTCTGCTTTGCGTCCCCCTGCTTTAGAGCCCCCCCCCCACTTTGCTTCGTATCCCAAGTTCTTTGCATCTCCTTGCACTTTGCAACCCGTTTGCCTGCAGCCCCATGTTTGTAACTCTCTGCTTTGCACCCCCATTGCTTTGCACTCCATTGCCCCGTCTCTCGCATTGCACCCTTTGCACCCCATTTGCTTTGCACCCTCCTTGCAATGCACCCAATTTGCTTTGCACTCCCTGCTTTGCTTTGCATCCTCCCTTGTATTCCGTTGCACCCTCAGCTTTACGCACCACTGCGCCCTCCCTTGCTTTGTGCCCCTTTGCTTTACACCCCACTGCCCCCCCTTGCACTGAATCCCCATTGGTTTGCACCATCCCTAGCATGGCTTTGCACCCCCTCTTGTATTGCACCCCCCTGTTTGCACCCCACAGCCCCCCCCAGGCTGCTCCCAGCAGAGCGGTGCTGAGCGGTGCGCACTGTACCCAGAGCCCCCAAAATAGCCCTGATTCCATCCCTGAAAGGATTTCCTGGCTTTGTGAGCCTTAACGCGCCTCGGCCAGCTCTGCAGAACAACGCTATTATTCACAGCTCCGAGGGTACAATCTGCTAAAGTCACTTAATAAAAAAAAAAGACAGAAAAAAAACCTTCAAAGGGCGTGAGAAATGCAGGCAAACAAACAGCGGTCTGCACGGGTCCCTTCATTAGCAGAGCCCTGGAACTGGGAGCCCCCACGTGCATGATAACATTGCAAGATTGATGGGGGGGTTGGGGGATAGAAGGGGGGTCTGAAGGTTCATCACTTTTTTTTTTTTTTAACCAAACTTGCAGAGTGGTGAGCTCTCCAAATGGAGTGCTTTTAATGGGATTTAATGACACAGAGCACTGAGCTGAGAGCAGAAAATGGGAGAAATAACCCTTAGTGTTGGCCCCAAAGAAGTGACCCCAAAGTTGGTCTCGAAGAAACGGCCCCAAAGAAATGACCCCAAAGTTGGCTGTGGTTTTCTGTGGTCACCTCGCAGTGACCCCCCCTTGGCCAGCTCCGGATGGAGGGATGCACATGGCGTAAATGAAACCATCTCATCCCCGTGCTGCACAAACACACGGTGAAAAGCAGCACGAGGAGGGATTTCCACCATGTTATCAGCATACAAAGAGAGCTCTGGGTGGGAGGGATGGCTGTCACCCGGAGGGACGGGTGTGACTGCGGACCTTGCAGGGCAGAGGGAGGAACAATGGCACACTGTGCCCCTTGGCATCGCCACAGATGGGGATGGATGGGGGGATTCTGTTGGCAGAGGTGGCTCCAGAGATCGGTGCGATCCATCCCAGTCCCCTCCCATTGGGGCCCTTGAAGCCATGCGCTGCCATCACGCAGTCACAGCCGTGGCACCGAGCCCCCAGCCAGGAGCTTTGGGCAGGAGCTCCAATCTCCACATTCCGAGGAGAAGAATTCAATCAGCAAACTAAGGTATGTTTTTGGAAATTCTCACCTCATGCCGCTAAATGTGTGTAAATACTGTTGTGCACGCAGCAATTTCTGCCTGTTGGTGAGTGGGATAACGGGTTGCACCGAGGCCCATCCCCAAAAGTGTCCGAATTTTGGGATCTGGGATCCCCTAAGGCATAGAAATGGGATGGAATTCAGCACTCTGCATCTAACTCCCTCACACTCATGGTGTCACCAGGGCTGGCATCCACAAGAGGGGCACAGATAGATTCTGTTGCCCTCGGAAATGTTTTCACCCATTGTGACCACTGCTGGGGACCAGCAGGCTCCTTGCAGCAGCTTCTGCACGGCATGAGTGCCGCTGCCACCCCCTGCTCCAGCAGTTGGCAACGTGCTGAGCTCGGCCTCCAGCAGAGAACTGCACCAGGAAAGTTTGCACCAGAGAGGTATGAGTGCAGTGTGGCCATGTGTGTGCACAAACACCGTGCTTCTGGCAGTGCGGTACACACATACGCTGACATATTTATGCAATACCTTTCTCAAAAGGAAAGCACTTCTATTGTTGCTGCTTTCCACATCGGGATGTTTTACATGTAGGATTTGCTTAGAAAAGCTGAGATTTGATAGTGGTTTGACAACAAGGCTGTGTGAAGTTGCTTTCTAGGCATTACAGCATCCAGGTGATACGAGTTATGCCTAATAGGAACTGGGAACACAGCGCAGACCACTCCATCTGCAGCAGCAGCACAGTTTGGCCCTCAATGCTGGACGTGATCTCCCCAGCTGTGAAAACCGATCTGAACCCCACAGCAACCTACAGACCAAGTCGCTTTCCCCCCACTTCTCTGTGCTGAAGCTCTGAGAGGACACAGCAATCCGAGGGCCTTTCCAGGCAGATCTGCAGTGCCGCGGGCCGGAGGGCAGCAGCCAACAGGTGTGGGTTTCTCACTGCTCCTCTGGCACAGCGCATCGCAAGGCATTCCTCTACACATCTCCCCACTGCCCTTTTCCAAGGCAGGAGCACGGGGCACGGCTGAGCTCTGGGCTCTGTCCTGGCAGACAGAAAGCAGGGAGGTTTCCATCACAGTTTCTCCCAACTCCAACTTTTCTGATATAATAATGACCCTTTTCAGCCTTAAATGAGGGTTCTTCAGCGGGGGGTGAGGTTGTAGGAAGGAGGGACGGGAACGAATGTGGTACTTTAGAACCCCTCCCCTTTGTCACTCACTAAACTCAATGAAATGAAACGAAATGAAATCGTAGAGATTAAACAGCGATGCACTCAGGGCTGATTGGGAACTTTTCACATCTCTGTATCGCTGAATTATACAGACAGCTCTGCACCGTTGCAGGGGGGGAGAGGCTCAGATGGAAGTTGTGTGCACCCAATGCACAAAGGCTGCACGCACCCAGATGTGCAGCAGAGCCACTGCTCGCATCTCAGTGCTGCACAGAGCTGCGCCCGGTGCCCGGAGCAGCGCCAGCCGCGTGCTCCAGAGCCGGAGCTGTGCGGAGCAGCGCTGCAATTCACGGCGCTGCCGCACTGCGAGCGCTGCCGACTGCGATCCCCGGGACGGGCACTGTGCGTTGGCACCGGGGCTCGCGGCGAGGCTTTGGGTTCAGTTGGCTTTTTTTTTTTTCTTTCTTTTTTTTTCTTTTTTTTTTTCCCTCAAGTTTTCTTTCAAGGAATTCAGTGGAGGAGCGCAGTGCGGGCGGCGCCGTGTCGGCCCTATCTCTGCACTCAGGGTGCCGGCAGCCAGGTGAGCCGTGGGCGCTCCCGTCGGGACGCGCAGGCCCGGGGATGGTTGGGGCTCCTGCAAAAAGCCATCCATGGCTGCTCCGCGCTCGGGCCGTCGGAGCAGAGGGACGCGGGGATGTGCGGGCGATGGGTGGATTCCTTCCGTGGAAAAAGGGAAAGACACCCCCAGCCCCGCTCCTCCTTTGAACGCTTCCTTACTGATATTCTATTCTTTTTTTTTTCTCTCTTCTGATTCAGATCGTGGCTAAATATAGGAGCTCCGTCGCCCCGCAGCTGCTCATTTGCAATTTGTTCTGCGCGTAAAATCTCTTAATGCTACAGATAAACTTCGGGAAAGTTACATCCCAATAAACAATGAGGTGTTGTTTAAAATTACATGTGCTGCTGTATTATTAGGTCTCTACCGACACTGCAATTATCTCCGGGGCTGGCGGGACCGCATTAGTTGCTCGCTCAGACGCAGGAATAGCTGCTGCATGAGCTCTCTGCCATTTTTATGAATGGAAAATATTTTAAAAGATCTCTTCCCCTCTTCCCTTTGTCCCCGCCGCAGAAGGAGCCCCTCGCCGAGCATCTTTTCCCACGTCACTTTAATAGCCGCATACATCCTCCATACATCGCGATGCACCACGCGCTGCCTCCCCGCTCCCCCCGACGCGGATACAGATGGGATTAACCCTCGGTCCTCGCTGCAGGGGACGCGGTGTCCGTGTGTGTCCCCCCCCGCGGCTGCGGATGCTGTGAGGACGGCGCACGGTGGGTGCCCGCACCGCAATGCCGGGCCGAGGAGGGGAATGAAGCGATGGGAATTCGCCGCTGTGGGGTTTGGGAGGGGGGAGGAGGTATCTATATCTTTTTTAGGGGGAGGGGGGTAAATAAAGAAAGCTCGCAACCTGCCATTTCTGCCTCCTCAACCGCTGGTGGAGTCAGTGGTAGCCTTTGTCCTCTGGGGGACGGGAAAAAGAAAGGAAAAGGAAAAAAGGAAAAAAAAAAAGGGGGGGGGGGAAGGAAAAAAAAAAAAAAGAAAAAAGAAAAAAGCAATAACAACAACAACAACAAAAACAAGTTTAAAAAAAAAAACACAAATAACAGCAACAACAACAAAAAAAAAAAAAAGCAAAAAAGAGCAAGGAGCGCAGCCCGCGCAGGTCCGGCCGCGCCGCTCCGCGCAAATCCCGCGCAAGTCCCGCGCTGCGCCGCCCCCGGCCGGGGGTTCCCCGACCTCGTCCTCTCTGCTCTCCTCTCTTTTCCTCCCCCCCCCCCCCCGCTTTTGCCGCAGTGCCGCCCCGCAGTCCCGCTGCTCACAGCTCCGCTCCGCGCCCGGCGCCGCGCACATGCGAAGATCGAGGACTGGGGCGAGCCGGGAGCCGCCCCCCCCCTCCCACCCCCCCCGGAAAAAATAAATAAAAAGAAAGAAAAAAAAGAGAAATAACCCCACGAAGGCGGGGGGCAGACATCCAGCGCACGGCCCGGCCCCAGCGCAGCCCCCATCGGCACCGGGGGGGTCGGGAGGAATCGGAGCCACCTCGCGCCCGCGCCGCCCCCTGCCCCGCACTGCCCCGCACTGCCCCGTACTGCTCTGCACTGCTCTGCACTGCCACTCACACACAGCACACATGCACATATGCATAGCACATCTATACCTATGCACACATGTACACACACACATGCACAGCACATATACACATCTGCACACACACACATCTGCACAAGACACACGTGTACACACACACACAGCACATATACATACTGCACATACTCATGCACTCACAAGATTTATATACACAGCAGACACATGCATGCACACAGACACACACGTATGCTCAGCACATACACACGTGTCATAGTATCACGGAATATCCTAAGTTGGAAAGGAGCCATAAGGATCCTCAAGTCCTACAGGAGGTTGCTACGGGATCCTCGCTGACACTTCTCATCCCCAGGCTGCTCTGTGGCCATCAAGGTCGTATCACCAACAGCCATCAGTTGGGTTAGGGCTTTGGCCCTGGGACATCCAGGCTTGGCCTCTCCCTGGGCACGCAGCACTCTTCCTGCCACCTCCTTCTGCGTCCCTGATCGCTAAGGAACAGACCCTGCCACAGACACGTGGTGGCACTCTGTGACTGGGGGCCAGCACCTGCAGGTCCCCCTCACACACACAGCCCCAGGGCTCACCTCCCACCCTGCAATAACCCAACACACAAGTTGCACGAAGCCAGAGTCGCTTTTGCTGCAGCACTGAGCTCCAATATTTCCTCACGTGTTGAATTCAGGGAATGCCTCCAGACTTGCAGTACTGTTGAGTCCCAAACTTTGGGGTGCGTTTGCCCCACATCTGCTGGGCCAGGTGGGACACTGCCACCCCAGCCACATGTCCCCAGCTATACAACTCGTGTTTCACTGCAAACAGCCCCAAAACCTGCTTTGAAAGACACACCGAAGGCCCATAGGGATGGGACTGGGTTCCAAAAGCTCTACAGCAGAGCACCACACTGCTCCCCAGCAGAAGCAACCCGCACAGCCCTTGGCCGTGTAGAGCTGCGCCGTTTCCCAGCAGCGCTCGCAGGACAGCTGGAATTCATATCGGGGTATTTTTAACGTGCTCTTACAAATACTTTGGCATACGCCTATCCCACTCCTTTTAATGATGTTGACTTCATTTCCTTTAATACGAAGGAAAAATGTGACACCGACAGAACTTAATTAAATTAATAAGAAGAAACAATAATAAATAATTCCAGTTTGTTGCTGCGGGGTTGCAACACACGGCACAGGAGTTTCACTGCTGGAACATCACCACCCCGCAGCCAGGCTCAGCACGCCCTGAGCTCTCTCCTTGCCCCACACTGCTGCACCAAGGCTGTTTGTAAACCCAGGCTCATTCAGACTGGGCCCCGTCAGCAATCCTAGCGCCACGTGTGAATTTATGCACACATCCATCCGTGTGCACACGTGTGTGTCTGCATTTGCACGATAGGCACATGCATGCATATGTGAGCGCACGGCTGCGTGCACACATATGGTCAGAGTCATGCACGTATGATTGCATGTCTGCACGCGTGACTGTGTGCATATCTGTGCACGCACCTTGCAGCTCCGCGTGTTTGCACGCAGGCACTTCCAGCCGCACGCCTGCGGACACTCATGCAGCCACGACCCCGTACGCAGACCCGCCCGCTGGTGCCCGGCCGTGCATGTCTCCTCGCACGTCTGCACGCTCCGCGCTGCCCCCGCCGCCCCCTGCCCCGCGCGGCGCGGCCCGGCACAGCTCGTGGCGCCCCCTGCAGGCCGCATCCCGCCGCCGCCCGCCCCCCGCGCGGCCCCCCCGCGCCCGGCCCCGCGGCCTCGAGGAGGGGTGCGGACCCGGCGGGAGATAAGGAGCGGCGTGAGCTAAAGCCTCCGAGCGGAGGCGATGCGGGTTTCCCGCTCGCTTTCTGACGGTCGCATGAGTGTGGGAACAGGGAATTGGGCTGTACAAAGGGGTGGAGGAGGATGCGGCAGGCAGGAAGGCAGGCGGGCAGGCGGCCCCAACCCGCCCGGGGAGCCGCGCTCCCCCCTCATCTGTCTGCAGAGCCGCTCTGCCTTGCCCTGCGCGGTCGGGCAGCACCTCAGCCCCTCTGATCTGCCCACCTGAGTGTGTGTCTTCCCCCTTCCGGCACCACACAACAGACTCCTCTGGGCCACCAGTAATGGCCGTGGAGCCGAAGGCGTTCGCCTGGACCGCCAGTGTTGGCAGCCCCCCGCAGTGCCTATGAGGCACCACCTCCCATGCAAGCATCGGTATCAGTTTTAGAGAACAGGAGAATCCTGCACCTTAGAGTGCGTGCACAGATTCGAGAAGTGCTTTCCTTTGGCTTTTTGGGATCGATGTCTGAAACCTCCATGGAAAAACACTTTCCACACCAAGTTTCAGCCTGACAGAGGGCTTTGAGACGTGTTCTACAGAAATGCTGAGGCCACCTTGTAGGGCTGACTCGTTCGGTGGCTTTCACAAAGTGAAATACACTTTTTTACCTGCCCGGCCCATTTTTTACCCGTGTAATAAAATATGACACTAGAGGGCGGCCTGTTAATGTAATTCAGTAACGAAGCCGCAGCGGCTGCAGATGGAGAATCGCAGTCTCTGCTATGCGTCGCTCTGGGGCTGGAAGCCGCCCTGGGAACCTTCACCCCCTGAGACAACCAGCAGTGCTGGGACATGAGGAGTGCCTCAAACATCACACCAGAACCCACAACAATACGGATTGCTGTGAAATGTGATTTGCCAACAGAGCAACGCGACTTGTGTTACGAGCTGTCCTTTTAGCACTTAGTAAATCTGGGAGGAGAAAGTGGCTGGAACTGTCCTCTCCTCTCCCTAATGCCTGACCCTCGTCCTGCCCCAAACCACTGAATGCTTTTACAGCTAAACAATAGGACTGCAGCTACAGCCTGCTTATAGGGGACAGCACTGACGCTCGAATACGGTCCTGCTGATGGCTCTGCACAGCCTTCCCGTGCCCAGGGAGGTCTCCTGCAGTTGCAGAGCCCAGTCTCCTCGTGTCAAACGAGGCTAATATCTGCATGCAATTTAATAAATTAAAGATTCCAAATATTTTTAGAACACCAGACTCAGTATGCATCAGAAATACCAGGTATTATCTAAGTACGAAGTGATGTCATTACTAATATTTACATTTTGTCCTGCCTGGCAGCAGAGATCTCCTTGTTGACAGCAGAACCTTTTCTCCTCCCCAGTTTTAAATCTCTGCCTCAGCTGTGAGCCAGCAGGCGAAGCGATGCGGTCAGATGGGCTGGAAGAGGAGTGAGGATGTGGCTCACAGCACCGTGAGCGTGGGCTGAGACCCGTGACTTTGTAGGTTGCTGCATGGGATGTTTGGAGGTTTGAAGGCGTCCCTGCAGCTCGCTCTGCAATAGCTTCAGTGCCCTGAGACTATCAAAGGCAGCTCGCCATGCTCACTGTGAAACGAGGGAACGTTTTAAGCTGAACTTAGGTGAGACTTTCTTACTGCCTCGAGCAGAAATTGGCCCAAAGTTACAGTTTCTTTTCTGAAAACTGATATTCCTTAGCATTTAGCAATAACATGTCTTCAGTTTTTGCTAAATTGCAAACGAGCAATTAATTTTTCAGCACTTGTGCAGAATACTTTAAAAATGGAAACATGAAAGTCTTCTATTAAAATGAAGTTGATAGTATGCACCTGCCACTAATGTACTGTACACTGTGTCTTCCACTCATTATAGTGATGATTTGGGTTGAGATCAAGAGTCATATAGTGAAAATCACTTCAACACGTGCCTGTTCATATGCATAAACTCCTGTGTACCAGATGGCAAAATATAATGACATCTTAAACAGCTAATTGCATAAACCT